ATATATATATAATATATTGTGTATATATAATAGTAGGTCTTTACCCTTCCTTCTTAATAGATAACTAGATAGGGAGAGTATAAAGAAAAAAGATTATTTATTATGCCGTTACGTCTGCTGCTGCAGAGTCTCTGAATACTGAATAACACTCCATCTCGGCTGTACGTACAGCCCCGCGTGCATGCATGCATGCATGCATGCATGCATGCAGCCTCTGTTCTTGTTGCTGCACTCGCCCCACCATGACAGCTGTAACACTTCCCTTCCTTACAGCAGTTAAGCCTACATAAGCAGAGCAGTTTAGCAGCAGCAGCAGCAGCAGCAGGAGGAGCACCAGCAACAGCAGCAGGTCCCCACACCTGTTGCTGTCTAGGGCCCCGAGCGATGCTGCTGCTTAGCAGCAAGTATTATTATTATTATTAATTAAGGAAATATTCCTCTATTAATAAATACACAAGGATACCTTTGTATATATTATCCTTGTCTTTATAAAGACACACCCTGCTTCCCTGCTGCTGCTGCTGCCGGTGCTGCTGCTGCTTCTGCTGCTATTGCTGCTGCTGCTATTGGTTCTGCCAGTTGTGCAAGGATATGTCTTTGCTTAGTGCACTAAAGCCTAACACTTAAACCCTAAACCCTAAACCCTAAACCCTAAATCTTCTTAATCCAGGCCTTAATGCACTTATCCTTACACCGCTGGCTGGTGCTGTGGTAAGGCCTGCAGCAGCAGCAGCAGCAGCAGCAGCAGCAGCATCTGCCCCTAGTTGCTGCTGCTCCTGCTGCTGCTGCGACAAGAATAAGCAGCAAGACGCATGCGGCCCCCTGCATCCACCAATGGCGTAACTTACATCTTTATTCCTTTTATTGGTGTTATTTATTTTATGCATAAACACATAAACCCTAAACCCTAAACCCTAAACCCTTCACTTGTGTATTAGCTATTTATTTTAACTAATATTTTTATTTATTTTTATTTTTATTTATTTTTATTTATTTATTTTATTTTATCTTATTAACTTCTTAATAACAATATAATAAATAATATATAATTATGTATATATACATGCATGCAGATAAAAGTGTTAATTACTTATAAAGGATAAAAAAAGAAATAAAGAAAGGAAATAAATACAAGAAAAAAGAAAGAAAAAGAAAAATGTATTTATTATTTTATTTATTATCCCTTTTTTCTTTTATTACCCTTATAAGAAGTATAAAAAATATTAATAATAAGGCGTTAATAGAGAATTAAATTAATTAATTAATTAATTAAATTAATTAAATTAATTAATTAATTAATTAATTAATTATTTAATTAGTTAATTGAATAACTAAATAAATAAATAAACAAATAAATAAATAAATAAATAAAGGGGGTTACAAGCTGAGTAACATCATACTTAATTGCTATATATAACTAATAGGGCTAATAAATAAATAAATAAATAAATAAATAATAAAATAAGAAGGAATAAAAATATATAATCTTATTATATATTATATATAATAATAATAGTAATAATAGTAATAAGAATTATGTCTTTATTAATATATTATTTATTATGCATGCATGCATGCATGCATACACCAGACACACATTACTAGGGTGCATATATTCATAAAGAAAGGGGAATATTTTTCTTATTTTATTAAATAATATAATTATTTATTTATTTATTATAAATAAAATTTATTTAATAAAAAGAATACCCTTTTTATATCCTTATAGCAGCGCATGCAGCAGCCGCAGCAGCAGCGGCGTTGGGGGCCCTATGGGACACGACGCCCCTGTTAACACTACTAAACCCTAAACCCTTAACCCTAAATATTAAACCCTAAACCCTAATCCTTCCCCTCTAACCATCCCTTTTTATTAGCCCTTTTTTGTTTGTTTTTTCTTTCCCTCCGTTGTTGTATAAAGAAAGAGTTGCTGCAGCCTCTCCTCCTCCGAGGCTACTGTTGCTGCTGCTGCTGTTGCTGCTGTTGCTGCTGCAGTTGGCTTGCTGCGCCTTCCCTGCATGAGGGTTTATATAACACTAATTTAATCATTAGCTGCATGCATTAGGGGCCCCCGATTATCTGTATATACACCTCAATATATATACAGCAGGATGTACCTCCCTATACACCGCAACTAAACCCTAATAATAAGCAACAACATAAGAAATTATTAAGGGGGCCCCCCTTCCTTGCTTAGCGCTGCTGCCGCTAAGGCACCTCCCATCATGGGGGGCCCCCTAGTACCCTCGGGGAAACCGCCAAAGGGCTCCTTGGGGGTCCGCTGCTTGCTGCTGCTGCTCCTGCTGCTGCTGCTCTGCCTACCCAGCTTTATCGTGTCTCTACAAGAGCAGCAAGAAGCAACTGCAGCAGCAGCAGCAACAGCAGCTGAGCAAGAGGCAAAGTCCGCCACCTCCAAAGACAAAGCGCAGCCAGAAGCAGCAGCAGCAGCAACTGCTGCTGCTGCTTCTGCTACCCCAGCAGCAGCAGGGCAAGCAGCAAATGCCCAGCTAAAGATTAACAACATCGGCAGCAACACGAAGGAGAAAAGCAGCAGCAAAGGCAGCAACGGCAGCAAGAACAACAATGACAAAAGCAGCAGCAGCAGCAGCAACACTAACCGCACCAGCGGCAGCAACAGCAGCAGCAACAGCAGCAGCAGCAGCAGCAGCACGAGCGATAGATTCGCAGAGGCAGCTCTCCCTGTAGGGTTTAGGGAACCCTTGTCTTTATATCCTCATAAATCAGAGGCAGTGTTTAATAAACTTGCTGCATGCGCAGACACAGATCCAAGGTTAGTATACCTAAACCCTAAACCCTAAACCCTAGAGGAGAGCAATATGTTGTCATGTCTTGACACTATGCTGTTTAGGGTTTAGGATTTACAGAACCTAAGGCGTGCGTCTGTCTGTGTCATTATCTTGCGGGTGTTCCTTCTAGGGTTTAGAAATAAATAAGGGTTTAGGGTTTAGGGTTTAGGGTTTAGGGTTTATTGTGTGTCTTCAGGTGTCAGTATGAATTATCAATATTTTATTTCTTAGGGAGGCCCCCTCTCCCCTCTCGCTACATAGAGGAGACACTGCAACTGTTATGGTTAGCAGCAAGAGGAGGGAGCGCAGATGCACAATATTTCTTAGCTGTTTTGTATCATAATCTATATTTATTACCTAAAGAACCTCCTCTTATTAGTACGTATAAACCCTAAACCCTAAACCCTAAACCCTTAATCAATTGTTCATCATACAGTGATTACAACAAACCCTTAAAAACCCTTCTACAGAACCCCATATTAGACTTCTCTCTGAATTAGGGTTTAGGGTTTAGGGTTTAGGGTTTAGGGTTTAGGGTTTGTGGGTGCATGCAGAATTAGATTCTCCATTAAGGGTAGTAGTAAGAGATGACTATAAATTATTATTTTTTAATGGTAATAAAGAAGTACCCTTTCCTTGGGGCCCCCTGCATGCATTAAATACCTTTGAGCGTTATTTACAATTAAATGATAAAAAAGAAGAAAAATATACAAAAAAAATATTCAATAAAATACATAAATATTTTTCTTGGGTACTAGGAGGAGGTAGGAGGGGCCCCCGACAGCAGCAGCGAGGTACCTCTAGGGGCTCCGGGACTGCCGGAGGAGGAGGTACCCACAAGGAGGGTACCAAGAGGGGGGCCCCCAATGATGATGAGGGGGCCCCCAAGACAGTTGCACAGGCTATGCAGCTGCTGCTTACTGCCCCTGATCTATCCTTTAATCCTCCATTACCTCTGGTGTATCTGCATGCAGCAGCAACAGCACTACATCCTGCTGCTGCTGCTGCTGTTGCTTGGAAGAAACAGTATGCTGCTCTTGATGGATCTGTTGGGCAGCAGCAGCAAGCTTGTGCTGCTGCTGCTAATCATTACCTCCCTGTTGCTAAGGCCACTGCAGGGGTAAGTCACCATATTTAGGGTTTAGGGTTTAGGGTTTAGGGTTTTTAGTGCAAGAGTGTGTTTTTCTTGTATTTTTACAGTTTTTAATATTAAGTATTCACAATTTAGGGTTTAGGGTTTAGGGTTTAGGGTTTAGGGTTTGTATGCAGTTATACTCGTTGGGTATACCCCAAGCAATAGAGGTATTAAGATTATCTACAGGGAGTTCTTCCCTCCAAGGGTCTGACGTACAGCGACTAAGTACAGACCCTGAGCAATTAGCTATGTTACTCCATGAGGCAGAAGACGGAAATCTAGCGGTAAACCCTAAACCCTAAACCCTAGCAAACCCTAAACCCTAATCTCCTATCATGCGTCTGCAGAAGCTGCACACAACGATATATCACAAGATGCAACGGAAGGATGGGCCTGTATACAGACATTAGCATGTGCTCTAGGGGAATTATATGTAGGGTTTAGGGTTTAGGGTTTAGGGTTTCTGGTGTCTTCTCAGGTACATGCTGCACTAGGGAGGAAGTATCTCTTTGGTGTTGATGGATTTCCTCAGAACTTTACTAAAGCAAGATATCATCTTCTTGCTGCTAGCAAGAGTTGGAAGTGAGGGTTTAGGGTTTAGGGTTTAGGGTTTAGGGTTTGGGGACTGAGGTTGGAGGGTTTGCTCAAACAAGCTTCGACCCGTTCAACACTTGACACCCAAAAACCCTTGCAGCTCCAATATCGTCAGCAGCAGCAGCAGCAGCAGCAGCAGCAGCAGCAGCAGCAGGCGTATGTGCTGGGTGCATGCGTGTGTATAGGGGGGAATCCAAGGGTTTATTAGGGTATATGTATGCCTTGGGGTTAGGAGTAGAGCAAGACTTAAATGAGGCAGCAGAGTGGTTCTTTAGGGGAGCAACAGAGAATGAAGACCCTATAGGTAGGTACACAGGGATTAGGGTTTAGGGTTTAGGGTTTAGGGTTTGGTGAGGGTGAGATGAAGGTAGTACTGACTTTGAACTGAAAGTGGAGTTAAATTTTCTACTTCATCAATTAGGGTTTAGTGTTTAGTAGGGTTTGTATTTTTAGGGTTTAGGGTTTAGGGTTTAGGGTTTAGGGTTTAGGGTTTTGGGGTGTATACGCAGCTTATAATGGCTTAGGTCTTGTATATTTCTTCGGTACTCCTCTTATAGAAGCATCGCCAGCCTTAGCCTTCGAGATGTTTAATAAAAGTGCAACATTGAATTCTCCTGATGGACAATTAAACTTAGCTTCTTTATATCTAACAGGAACAGGTATATAAACCCTAAACCCTAAACCCTAATTATACACTGTTTCGTAGTTGTATTACTGCTAGTTAGCCTCCCTTACGTGATCCTGTCTGTGGTGTTCTTTTTTTCAAGTTTTCGATTTTTTCGAAAATTTCTAGGGTTTAGGGTTTAGGGTTTAGGGTTTAGGGTTTAGGGTTTTTTTTTCTTAGGTGTATCGAAATCTTTTGTTGATGCATTAAAATGGTTAACAAAAGCAGTTAGAGGAGGGAGTACAGGTGCAGCATATGCATTAGGGACTATGCATCTATCGGGTCTAGGGGCAGTAAGGGACTGCCCCCTTGCTGTAGGCTTATTAAAACTCGCGACGGAGAGGTCCCCTTACTTCGCCCATACGCTGCAACGGGTACGTTTCTAGGGTTTAGGGTTTAGGGTTTAGCTATACCGTGGAGGGGGTGTTAGGGTTTAGGGTTTGCCACTTGGGGTTGCGGCATTTCCCTTGAGGAAGGGTTCCTGCGAGTGACGTCAAAACCCTAAACCCTAGTTTAGGGTTTAGTTATGATGTAAGAGGAGATTGCGGGATACGCTCCTTGGTTTAGGGTTTAGGGTTTAGGGTTTAGGGTTTGTTCCTTCTGTGTAGGCGCATGCGGCTTACGAGCAAAACGCATTTGACGAAGCAGCCTTAAATTTCCTTCTTCTTGCAGAGGCAGGGCATGAGGTAGGTACAGAACACTATGCATGCATGCATGCATGCAGCAGCAGCAGCAGCAGCGACGCCTACCTTCTAAACCCTCAGAGTTGCCTATTGACCCACTTTATATGGCATTTATAGTGCTTAAGGGTTTAGCGTTCAGAGGAGGGTTTAGGGTTTAGGGTTTAGGGTTTGTTGTACGCAGGCTTCACAAAGTAATTTAGCTTTCTTGTTGGATGCGGGCCTTACGGACATCTTCTTCGATGGTGGGCATCTTTGCTGCTGAGGGTTTAGGGTTTAGGGTTTAGGGTTTAGCGTTTATGGGAGAGGATTTGGAGGACGCGGTCTTCTCGTGTACACAACTTGAGTGTCCTCTACTGCAACATCAGCTGCTGCTGTTGCTGCTGCTCTTGATGCTGCTGCTGCTCTTGCTGCTGCTGCTGCTGCAGGGACCCTAAGAAGGAAGCGTCTGCATGCTCAGAGGTTTTACGAGATGGCAGCAGCACAAGGCGCGCTGTCTGCCCAGCTAAGACTGGGTAAGGTGCATGCATTTGCTGCTGCTGTGATTATTGTAGTTGCTGCTGCTGTTGCTGCTGCTGCTCCCGCTGTTATGTGTCATTAGGGTTTAGGGTTTAGTTGAGCATGTACTCCTGGATCATTGAACTGCTCCCTGGGTCTTAGGGTTTAGGGTTTAGGGTTTAGGGTTTGCGTCTTAGGGGACTTCGCTTACTATGGCTACGGCGTCCGTCGCCGCAGCGCGACCATGGATTATCCAAAAGAATTTGTTGATGAAAAAGGTGAGGGTTTTAAACCCTCAGCAGAAACGTAGAGGTCTAGGGTTTAGGGTTTAGGGCTTAGGGTTTACGTAGGGTTTGGTGGTTTTTTTCAGGCGCTTCTTTTGAGGGTTGGTTGTCTCAGCCTAAGCTTTGGTTAGAGGAAGGGGTTAAAGACTTTGCTGAGGCGGCAGGTAGGGTTTAGGGTTTAGGGTTTAGGGTTTAGCGATAATTTGGCTTTAACGCATATAACGCAGCAGAATTGAAAAATGTTTAGGGTTTAGGGTTTAGGGTTTAGGGTTTGGGTTTTTTGCGCAGCGTTCTACCGCAAAGTCGCCGACTCCGCGAGTTGGGGTCCTGCCCTTGCTGCTAAGGTACGTTGTTTTGCTTAATTAGCAGCAGCGACAGCAAGTCGTCGAGCAGCAACAGCAGCAGCAGCAACAGCAGCAGCAGCAACAGCAGCAGCAGCAGCAACAGCAGCAACAGCAGCAGCAGCAGTTGGGGTGTTTTGTGTGTGTTCTACAGGCGAGGTATAACTTGGGTACAATGCATCTCTTTGGCATAGGAGTGCCGCAGGTAAACCCTAAACCCTAAACCCTAATTTCAATGCTAAGACCAAAACCCTTCTTTCTTTGTCTCCTTCATAGAGGCATCGGCTAGGCTAGTGAATAAGCAGAAGGGAAATTAGGGTTTAGGTTTCTTCTTAGGGCTTACCTCTCTAGGGTTTACGCCTTTAGGGTTTGCCTATTTAGGGTTTACGTCATTAGGGTTTGTGTATTTGTGTATAGGACTTATACCTGGCTAGCCATCATTTTAAGAGGCAAGTGTTTACATTTTATTGCCAACAAATAGAAGGTCCTGTCTAGGGTTTAGGGTTTATTCCTTCCCTCTAGGGTTTAGGGTTTAGGGTTTAGGGTTTAGGGCTTAGGGTTTGGGGTTTGGTGTGTACAGGAGTCTTGAAGCAGACGAGCACGCACCCACCGCTCCTGTTTATGCTGGTCTTGCTGCTGTTTATTTTATGGACTTCTTAGAGAGAGTTGGGCCTGCAGAGGTAATTAATGTATTTTATTTATTTTATTTATTTTATTTATTTTATTTATTTATATATTTATTTGTTTATTCAATTAATTTGTTTATTTGCTTGTTTGTTTATTCGTTTGTTTGTTCGTTTGTTTATATTTATATTATTGTGAAGCAGCATTAGAGCTAAGGGTTTAGGGTTTAGGGTTTAGGGTTTAGGGTTTTGTGCTGCAGTTGCTGAATTCCTTACTACTAGAGCCGAGGGTTTTGTTTTTACTTCTTAATCTTCTTGCCATGATGATTTTGCTCATCTTACGTGCTATCTTACAGGTAAACATTAGGGTTTAGGGTTTAGGGTTTAGGGTTCCTACTTATGAGGGTTTAGGGTTTAGGGTTTAGGGTTTCCCCCTACACCTTCCTGAGGTTTAAGGGTTTAGGGTTTCTACTTAAACCTTCCCGAGGTTTAGGGTGTAGGGTTTAGGATTTCTCCCCATATCTTCCTGAGGGATTAGGGTTTAGGGTTTAGGGTTTAGGGTTTGTGGCGCAGTCACTGAGGAGAGAAAGGGGACTAACTGATCAAGCCTTCATTGCTGCTGCACAGAGGGGCCCTGGCCAAGCAGCACAAGCAAGGGAGCAGCTGCAGAGGCAGCAGCGGCAGCAGCTGCTGCAGCAAAACCGGCAGCAGCAGCCGCAGCAACAGTCGCCGCCGCAGCAGCAGTCTCAGACCCAGCAGCAGCAGGAGAAGCAGCAGCAGCAGTCTCAGACCCAGCAGCAGGAGGAGGAGCCGCAGGAGAAGCAGCAGCAGCAGCAGCAAACTCAGCAGCAGACGGCTATGCAACAGCCAAAGCAGGAAGAGCAGCAGCAGCAGCCCAAACAGCAGCAAGAGCAGCAGGAGGAGCAGCAGCAGCAGCCGGCTGTGCAGCCACAAAAGGACGAGGAGAAGCAGCAGCCAGCTGTGCAGCAAGTTAAGCAGGAAGAGCAGCAGCAGCAGCAGCAGCCGCAGCAGCCAACGCAGCAACCGCAGCAGCCAACGCAGCAACCGCAGCAAGAACCGCAGCAACAGCCAACGCAGCAACCGCAGCAAGAACCGCAGCAACAGCCAACGCAGCAACCGCAGCAAGAACCGCAGCAACAGCAGCAGCAGCAGCAGCAAGAGCCGCCGCCACAGGCGCCTCAAGAGCAGCAACAGCAGCAGCAGCAGCAGGGAAAGAGCGTGTCTGCTCCCCAGAATGATGATCAGCAGCAATTAGAGCAGCAAGAGCAGCAGCAAGAGCAGCAGCAGCAGGAAGGGCAATCACATGCAGCAGAAAGCAGCAGCAAAGGAGAAGAAGCAGAAGAATATCCCATGACCCCTCTACCTAACAGCAGCAGCAGCAGCAGCAGTAGCAGCAGCACTAGCAGCAGCAGCACGATTAGCAACGGTTTGTCTGGGGTAGTGAATGCCTCTGTTGATGCTAATAGATTTGCCATGAACGGCACTGACGATTGCAGCAGCAGCAGCAGCAACAGCAGCAGCAGCAGCAGCAACAGCAGCAGCAGCAGCAGCAATGCACATATAGATGAGGATACACCCCATGATTTTTGTATGAATCGTGATTTTGTGCCTCCTTCTTCCTTTTAATTAATTTATTAATTATTTATTATTAACTATTTATTCCTTTATCTTGCTGCTAGCTAGCCAGCTAGCTAGCTAATCAGCTAGCTAAACTGCTAGCTGTGCAGCTAGCTAGGTGCCAGTGCATTCCTGAACAGCTAGCTAAACAGCTAGCTGTTCAAGCTAGCTAGTTAGCCAGCTAGCTAGCTAGCTAGCTGGCTAGCCATTTAGTTAGTTAGTTAGCCGCCTAGCTAGCTACCTAGCTAGCTAGCTGCCTAGCTAGCTGGCTAGCTAGCTAGTTAGCTAGCTAGCTCGTTCCTCCCCTTAGTATGAATAGCCTGCAGTGTGCAGCATCTAAGGGAGACACTAAACCCTAATTAAAGGCATTTGTTCCTTTTTCCTTTTATTGTTTATTAATTAATTAATTTATTTATTTATTTACTTGTTTTATTTATTTATTTTATTTATTTATTTAGTTTATTTATGTATAGCAACTTTTGTCCTGGTAGTGCTACGCCTCGTATACTCGTAATAGCAGCAGCAGCAGCAGCATCAATACCTGCCGCAGCAGCAGCAGCAGCTGCTGCTGCTGCTGCTGCTGCCTCCCCGTTCCCATGCATGCGTCTGCATGCAGATGTATAATGTGACCAATGGTCTTGTCTGCTAAGCAGCAGCAGGAGGGAGGGCAAATTATAAACAATAAGTAAATAAAAACAAATTAAGTAGATAAATAAATAAAATAAATAAATAAAATAAATAAATAAAATAAATAATAGTTTATTACAATAAAAAAAGAAATAAAAGGAAAAGAAGAAAAAGCACTAGCCCCTTAATTGTCTTATCTATAAGATATAAGGGCCCTGCTGCCCTTTGGGGCTGGCCATGCATGCATGCATGCATGCATGCATGGCCAGCAGTTACGCACGCATGCATGGCTGCATGCATGCATGCGTGCATGCACTGCAGCAGGAAAAAGGCAATGAATAAGCAGCAGAGGAGACAGGAGACTATTGTCCCTTATTAACTGTCTCCTTATTTATTTATTTATTTATTTTTTTCTTATTAATGTGTCTCCTCCCTAGCTGTTTATACACCGCAAAAGTACCCACTCTTACACACGCTGTGCCCACTTTGTAACTGTTGGGGCCCCCCTGTAATACACAGGGGGGGCCCCCTTTATAATAATACTGAGGGGCCCCTTGAGGGGCCGGAGGGCCCGCTTGAGGGGACCCTTGAGGGGCCCCCCTCGAGGTGCCCCCTTCAGTAACAGGGGGGCCCCTATATTATTGTATATCTACTACATTATTTGTCTCTTTTTTTTGTCTGTGTGTCTCCTTTGTCTCTGCTGTCTCTCCTTTGTCTCCTCTGTGTCTCCTGTCTCCTTTTTGTCTTCCTATAGAACTAGGGAAGCCCTCTCCTGTTTCTTGCTGCTTCTGCTTCTGCTGCTGCTCCTGCTGCTGCTGTTGTGTGTCCTGTCTGTTTTTTGTGTCTCTTGTGTCTCTTTTCTGTTTCTTGTGTGTCCCTTTTGTGTGTTTAATTGCTTTCTTATTCTTCTCTTCTGTCCCTTTCCCCTCTGTCCCTGCTGCTGCTTCTGCTGCACCTGTTGCTGCTGCTGCTGCAGAGTGCTGCAGCAGCTGAGGAGACACTGCAGCAGGCTGCAAGTCAGCAACAAGAGAGAAATGATCAGAGCAAGGCCAAAGCTGCGGAGACACCAAGAGAAAAGAAGCAGACAGAGGAGACACTAAACAGCAGCAGCAGCAGCAACAGCAGCAGCAGCAGCAACAGCAGCAGCAGCAGCAGCAGCAGCAGATACTGACCTCATTGGGGCAACATTCTTTGCCTAAGACATTGGGGAGTCTATACACCTGAGTAACCTTTGTGTAACAAACAAAGAAGAAACAGCAGCAGAAATATACACCCCAGCAGCAGCATCAGCAGCAGCAGCAGCAGCAAGCAACACAGCAGCAGCAACCAATATACCCAACAGCAGCACGCGAACCCCCAAGACAAAGACACTGCAGCAACAGCAAAATCTAGGGTTTGTGTTTATATCTCTTCGTGTTGGGAGTTTGCCTCTAGGGTTTAGGGTTTAGGGTTTAGGGTTTAGGGTTTAGGGTTTGTACCTTTAGGTTGGTAGGTAAATAGAAAATATAATCAATGCATCCTTTCTGCCAACCATGAAAAGCAGTAAACGCTGGCTCTGCTGCTGCTGCTGCTGCTGTTTCTGCTGCTGCTGCTTCTGTTGTTTCTGCTGCTGCTGCTGCTGCTGCTGCTCCCTTTTGCTGCTGCATTAGTCTGCTTGGGTCTTGTGACGGGATAGCGTAAGCACTTTTTAATGCAAAAGGCAAAAATACCTCAAATGGCTCATCCTGCTGCTGCTGCTGCTGCTGCTGCTGCTGCTGCTGCTTCTGCTGCTGCTGGTAGTGTTGGTGCTGCTGATGGTGGTGTTGCTGCTGGTGGTGCTGCTGCTGCTGGTGGTGGTGGTGCTGCTGCTGCTGTGGGTGGTGTTGCTGCTGGTGGTCAAAGGCAGACCAGCCCTTTGTGTGGTGTGAGTTTTTCTTCGCTTCTTTTCCTGTTGCTGCTGGTGCTGCTGCCGCAGCAGCAGCAGCAGCAGCAACAGCAGCAGCAGCAGCAGCAGCAGGAGCAGCAGGAGTGTATTTAAATACATCCTTAACTCCCCACTCCCAACGTGTCTCTGCTGGGCGCCGCGCCTTCGCTAATTCACGAGAGGCCTCAGGGGTACTGCAAATAAAAGGAGACACTCTTATAAGAAAAGGAGACACATTAATATAAGAAAAGGAGACACATAAAAGGGAGACAGAAGAAGACGTGGAGGCATGAAGGGAAGGAGGCAGAGGAAGAGGAGACAGCAAGACAAAGAGACAAAAGGAAACAAAAAAGGACACAGTAAAAAGGAGACAAAAAGGAGACAAAAAAAGGAGACAAAAAGGAGACAAAAAAAGGAGACAGTAAAAAGGAGACAGTAAAAAGGAGACAGTAAAAAGGAGACAGTAAAAAGGAGACAGTAAAAAGGAGACAAAAAGGAGACAAAAAAAGGAGACAAAAAAGGGAGGAGACGAACTTCATGATAGAAGTTGGATGAAGGAGACAATTTGTTGTAATTGGGTATCCACCATCAGACATCAAGAATTGACCTAAAAGGAGACAAAAAAAGGAGACAAAAAAAAAGAGACAAAAAAAAAAGGAGATAAATAAATAATTAATAAGGAGATAAAAAAAGAATTAGTATGGAG